GAGTGTCCCCACGGGTTCTTCCCCCCACCCCATGGTGTCCCCTCCCCATAACGATGTCCCCACCCCATAACGATGTCCCCACCCCGTGACGATGTCCCCACGCCGTGGTGTCCCCTCACCAGGGTGAAGCCGTCGTAGATCTGCATGAGCTCCTCGGTCTTGTACTGCTCCAGGACGACGACGCCGTGCAGGGCCCCGCTGCGGCGCCGGGCGCAGGCCTCGCAGTGCACCAGGTAGGTGTTGCGCCCCCCCGTCTCGCTGGTCACGAAGAGGATGTTGAAGACCTCCACCTGCAGGACATGCACCCGTGGGGTGACCCATGGCATCGTCACCACCCCACACCTCCAGCAGGACCCCACCGCGGCTCCTCGCTTCCTCATCCCACCACGAGGAGAGTCGGCCCGAGAGGGTCTTGGCCAACCCTTTGGGGGGTGGTGGCCTCTGGGGTGTCACCACGTGGAAGGTCCCACCCCCACCCTGAGATGGGTGACATCCCCATCACCCTCGGTGTGGTCTCAGGAGGGTTTCGCCCATGGGCTTGGAGGTCTTCTTGGCCACCGTCTTGGTCGTGGCCAACACCTCGGTAAGACCATGGTCAAGATCACGCCAAGGTCATGGTCAACGCCACAGCAAGGTCATGGCCCCAAGACCACGGCCAGGGTCACGCCAAGGTCACACCAAGACAATATCAAGACCATGACCAAGGCCATGACCAAGACCACCCCAAGGTCATGCCAAAACCACAGCCAAGACCACCCCAAGGCCATGCCAAGATGATGGCCATGACTACCCCAAGACCACCCTAAGGCCATGACCAAGGACACCCCAAGACCATGACCAAGACCACCCCAAGACCATCCCAAGGCCATGCCCAAGATGGTGCCAAGACCAAACCAAGGCTGTGACCGAGGCCCTTCCAAGGTCTCCCCAAGACCACGACCAAGGACACCCCAAGACCACCCCAACACCATTCCAAGGTCTCCCCAAGGCCACCCCAAGACCACGGCCCAAGGTCACCCCAAGACCACCCCAAGACCATCCCAAGCCCATGCCCAAGACCACTCCAAGGCCACCCCAAGGTCTCCCCAAGACCACCCCAAGACCGTGACCAAGATGGTGCCAAGACCAAACCGAGGCCATGACCGAGACCCTTCCAAGGCCACCCCCAAGGCCACCCCGAGGCCACCCCAGGGCCATCCCAAGACCATGACCAAGACCACCCCAACACCATTCTAAGGTCTCCCCAAGGCCACCCCGAGGTCACCCCAAGACCATTCCAAGGTCTCCCCAAGACCATGCCCAAGACCACTCCAAGGCCACCCCAAGGTCTCCCCAAGACCACCCCAAGACCGTGACCAAGATGGTGCCAAGACCAAACCAAGGCTGTGACCGAGACCTTTCCAAGGCCACCCCGAGGCCACCCCAGGGCCATCCCAAGACCATGACCAAGACCACCCCAACACCATTCTAAGGTCTCCCCAAGGCCACCCCGAGGTCACCCCAAGACCATTCCAAGGTCTCCCCAAGACCATGCCCAAGACCACTCCAAGGCCACCCCAAGGTCTCCCCAAGACCACCCCAAGACCGTGACCAAGATGGTGCCAAGACCAAACCGAGGCCATGACCGAGACCCTTCCAAGGCCACCCCCAAGGCCACCCCGAGGTCACCCCAAGGCCACCCCAGGGCCATCCCAAGATCATGACCAAGACCATCCCAACACCATTCCAAGGTCTCCCCAAGGCCACCCCAAGACCATGCCCAAGGCCACCCCAAGGTCTCCCCAAGGCCACCCCAAGACCACGCCCAAGACCATCCCAAGGCCATCCCAAGGTCTCCCCAAGACCATCCCAAGACCATGACCAAGATGGTGCCAAGACCAAACCAAGGCTGTGACCGAGACCCTTCCAAGGCCACCCCCAAGGCCACCCCCAAGGCCTCCCCAAGACCATCCCAAGACCATGACCAAGACCATCCCAACACCATTCCAAGGTCTCCCCAAGGCCACCCCAAGACCATCCCAAGACCATCCCAAGGCCACCCCAAGGTCTCCCCAAGGCCACCCCAAGACCACGCCCAAGACCATCCCAAGGCCACCCCAAGGTCTCCCCAAGACCATCCCAAGGCCACCCCAAGACCATGCCCAAGATCATCCCAAGGCCACCCCAAGGTCTCCCCAAGACCATCCCAAGGCCACCCCAAGACCATGCCCAAGATCATCCCAAGGCCACCCCAAGGTCTCCCCAAGACCACCCCAAGACCACGACCAAGATCATCCCAAGACCATGACCAAGACCACTCCAAGACCATCCCAAGACCATGACCAAGATGGTGCCAAGACCAAACCAAGGCTGTGACCGAGACCTTTCCAAGGCCACCCCGAGGCCACCCCAGGGCCATCCCAAGACCATGACCAAGACCACCCCAACACCATTCTAAGGTCTCCCCAAGGCCACCCCGAGGTCACCCCAAGACCATTCCAAGGTCTCCCCAAGACCATGCCCAAGACCACTCCAAGGCCACCCCAAGGTCTCCCTAAGACCACCCCAAGACCATGACCAAGATCATCGAAGGCCATTGCAAGGTCACCCCAAGACAAGGCCATACCAAATCCACGCCAAAGATGGTGCCAAGACCAAACCAAGGCTGTGACCGAGACCCTTCCAAGGCCACCCCCGAGGCCACCCCGAGGTCACCCCAAGGCCACCCGCGGTGACTCACGTCGCACTCGTTGCAGTAGTAGGCCGGCTCGTCCTTCACCCGGCCCTGGTAGGCGATCTTCTTCCCGGCCCGGACCAGGCTCTCGCGCTGGACCTGGCAGTGCTTGATGGACTGCATCAGGCAGTACCTGCAACGCCCGCCCCACCGTCACCCACCGCCCCACACCTGTGGGGCCACGGGGTGCCCACAACCCCGGCTGGCATCGGCCCGGCCTGAGCTGGGACCAAACCAGCCCGTGGTGGCATCAAAGCAGCTTGAGATGGCACCAGCCCAACCTGAGGCGGCATCAAACCAGCCCCTGGTGGCATCACCCAAGCTCAAGGTGGCATCAACCCAAGGTGACATCAGCCCCAGCTTGAGATGGCATCACCCAAGCTCAAGGTGGTACCAGCCCAAGGTGGCACCAGCCCAACCTGAGGTGGCACAAACCAGCCCCTGGTGGCATCACCCAAGCTCAAGGTGGCACCAGCCCAAGGTGGCATCAGCCCAACCTGAGGTGGGACTAAATCAGCCCATGGTGGCATCACCCAAGGTCAAGGTGGCACCAGCCCAAGGTGGCATCAGCCCCAGGTTGAGGTGACATCACCCAAGACCAAAGTGGCACCAGCCCAAGGTGGCATCAGCCCAACCTGAGGTGGGACCAAACCAGCCCGTGGTGGCATCAAAGCAGCTTGAGATGGCACCAGCCCAACCTGAGGTGGCACAAACCAGCCCCTGGTGGCATCACCCAAGCTCAAGGTGGCATCAGCCCAACTCAAGGTGGCATCAAGCCAAGGTGGCACCACCCAAGCTCAAGGTGGGACCAGCCCCAGCCCAAGGTGGCATCAGCCCCAGCTTGAGATGGCATCACCCAAGCTCAAGGTGGCATCAGCCCAACCTGAGGTGGCATCAAACCAGCCCCTGGTGACATCATCCAAGACAAAAGTGGCACCAGCCCAAGGTGGCATCAGCCCATCCCTGTCCCCAGCGTCTCCCTGTCTCCGTGTCCCCAATGTCCCCATATCCCCCCATGTCCCTGTATCCCCCCATGTCCCCATGTCCCCCCATGTCCCCATGTCCTCATGTCCCCCCATGTCCCCATGTCTTTGTATCTCCCCGTGTCCCCC